GAGAGAGAGAGAGAGAGAGAGAGAGAGAGAGAGAGAGAGAGAGAGAGAGAGAAATGTTTTGATTAAGCGTGCACGTATGTGATTGCGGGAATAATTTTCACGTAACTCGTTTTCTTGGTTGCAGGTTAGTCTATTTATCGTTTAAGCGTGGATGATATTGGCGGAAGATGAATAGGGAAATGCAAAACTCGCGCACCGCGAGTATCAGTTTCTTATTAGCGGACCGAAAAACTAATTACCAGGTATGCTTCCTATTTATAATTATTCTGGGCGCTTCGTTACCCGCGAATTAATTATTAAACGTTAGGGAGCGGGGCAGTGCCGCGAAATTATCTCGATTTAATCGCTCATCTCTTCGATATCCGATGTTAGCCTCTTGGATATTTTAATAACTCGTTAGCATTTCTATTTTAAACTTAAGACAAGACTATGAGAAAGACAGAGAGAGAGAGAGAGAGAGAGAGAGAGAGAGAGAGACTGTTACATTATCCATTCATAAATAAGAAACAGAAAGCGCGATTGAATTTGCCGTTACTCTGTTAATCGTCAATTTCAACCTGGACTCTTGTGCTTCTCGAATATGTTCAAAACGCCCGATATATCTTCGAGCAGTTCAATTTGCGCATGATATGCAAACATCTGCAACACTTGACGCGAGCGAAATGAATCAATTTATCAGTTTTCTAATAATTAAAGTCGTTTCGATTTCAAGAACGCTTATTCTCGGATTTTATACACTGATAAAAGAAATATATTTAAAATATTTATTCGGCGTAAACTAATAATAACACACGGAAAAAAGGTTTGGTTGAATTAACCAAATATCTGGTCGAATATGAACGATCCAGAAATTCTGATTGAAGTAACTCGAATTCTATTTAAGTCAATCAAAAATCTTGTTACCTTAAACAGAATTCGGATTACTTCAATCGGAATTTCTGGATCGTTCATATTCGACCAGATATTTGGTCAATTCAGCCAAACCTTTTTTTCCGTGCATGATTCCTGGATCCTTATTCTGGATATGCAGAAAACGCTAAACATGCCTTTCTAATTTTTTCATATATAAGCGACGCAAACAACGTTGTTTCAGTTTGAAAATTGGAAAAGCGTATTTGTTATACGTCTAACATACGTCTAAAATACGGTCGTTGTTGTGCTTGTTAATTGCTTTGTTAATTTGTAAATGCTAATTGCGCGTCTTCTCTCATGACCGCAGATAAAATAAATAAGATATAATTAAAAAGATTTAATTAGAAAATTAAATTAAATAGAAGAAAATAAAGAGGCACACCTGGAGGAGACATGCTATTTGCGGCAGTCTGCGGTCACGAATGCGCGCGCAATTAGCATTTTCCAAATTAACGATGCAGTTAAAATCTCTGCCGCATCAGCGCGCTTATTTAGTTTTGCTGACGTGACCGCTGGCGCTCGGTATTGCCGATCCCGGTCTGTAGATCATCTTTGGCGGGCAGTAAATCCGAAGGTGTCTAATACGACTCCTCGGAGACGGTCGCGCCAAATCGACGCGAATGAATCACTCGTGGCTCGCTCGCTTTCCGCAATCAAAATGTAAATCGCGCTCGGCTCTCTTTCCCGGATATCGTCGCGCGAGCACGCGCACTCGCGACACTCGCACGCGACGGACATGCACCAACGTCGTGATAGATGATAGTGCGACGGCCGCGCCGGAAGGAATCTTTCACCGCGAGCAAATCGATTTTCTGTCGCGGCGTTTTGTTTGGCCGATTTTGCTCGCGCGGCTCTGGCCGCCGCCGTCGCAGGTGTCGAGTCGTCACGCTGCAAATATTGAAAATAATTCTCACGGCCACAGGCGGCTGTGTTACACGAAATAACGCGTTGTGCAGTGAGCGGCTTTGTATCCGCGCTGCTCTTTGCATTCCCCGGGAGACCCCAAGTGTCTCGCCTGTATTTTGGAGTTAAGGGACCAGACCAATGTAACGCTCTGAAAAGAAGCGTATTTTTGGGAATTAATTTCGCGAAAATGGATCAATGTTTCGAAACATTGTATACTAATCAAGTAACTACTAAACTTTGCATTACTTTTGTTTTTGTTATCCAGAAAAATTTATAGATAAATATGTAGCATGTGGCCGAATTCAAGACTGTAAAAAATATCGCTGCAATCGGCAGGAAAGATAGAGCTCGTTCTAGTGACTTAAAAGATAAAAAAAATCACAAAGTTCTTAAAGTAATATTTCCAAAAATACGCTTATTTTCAAAGCGTTACATCGATCAGGCTTTTTAATGAGAAGCCTGTTGACGTGAACGAAAACATCGGGATATTCTCCGACTTCTGAATCATAATGATCATTTTGCAAAGCAAAATTTCTTGGTAGATAGTGATACAAAGCTTCACGGTCATTTAATCTCGCATAATTCATGAAACAAAGCGAAGCCACAATTAAATCCTTGATGAGAGACGCTCAGTTTTCGAAGAAAAGGGTGTGGCCAAGTTTAGCTCCGTTTTACGGCATTCGAAATTTTAAATAATTTTTTTATAAAATTATAGCTATTAATGAATAAATCAAAGATATGTATCAAAATGATGCACCTCTCACAATTCAGGAGAAAAAGTTTGTAGCCCGACACACGGAAAAAAATTAAATATTAATTCAAGACTTACATATTCTAATGGACGCGACCGTTGTTTTATATATAAGCAAGGATATATTATTTTCCTACAACAATTTAATATTTTTAAATTTCAACAATATTATAATGTTATGGCAAGATTACGATAGTTCACTATAGATAATTTCAAGTTAAAGAAATTGTAGTTCTTGGTTTGAAAATATCGTTCTTTTCGTCCAATATTCATTATTCTCAATTCAAGAAAATTATTCTTGAATAACGAGAATATTATATTTTTAGTGGAACTATATTCAATTTCTTCATATAAGCAAGTTTTCTCTGTTTAACGCCATATAATCTCAACATGAACATGTTGAGAATATAGATATTCTCTAAATAAGAATGTTCTTCTTTTCCGTGAAACGTATTCTGCTGAAATAAATGATTATTGAAATGAAGGAGTTTTGCCGAGTAACAAATCAAATAAATTGGCATGTTGAAGTAACAAGCTGGATTTTAATCTGGCTTCGGGAATCAAGCTCCCTGGTGTCATCATAGCTGCCAACGTAACGTCGATCGCGATGCCACATCGTCGGTGCGCTCATCTCGAATCTCTCGACGCGATGTCACTCTCCCGTGTGACACGAACGTCGCGATCCCTAACATCTTGGCTGCATGTATAGCTCTGAATGCACGTCTTTCCGATTCTCCAGCTGAAACAGTGATATCTGCGATGTTCGTACGATAAATCGAATTTGCAGACATTTTATTAATCAATTATAAATTATTCAGGACGATTAATTAATTGTGTGACGACTGATTAATTTTGATGATTGACTGACGATTATCTCAGTCAGAAAAAATTTTCATTAGTTAATCCCCAACACTGTGCTCGGCCGGTTTTCAAATAATACGAGTGAGATATATTAAAAGTTCGTTTTTGGTATAAACTTTAGCACTTGCACGGAGAAAAATAATTTTGCTTTTTTAACAAAATCGTCATTTCTACTGCATATTGGTAGTGATATAAAAAAAATTTAGTTGATGTAACTAATTTTACAAATTATTCGTTATTAGAGCAGAAGTTTCGTTGCCAGGACAGAACAAATTTGTTGAGTGTATTTGTCCTAAGAATCACGTTAATTCGCTATTGATGCAAAATAATGTATCCTTAGCAAATTTATTTGCTATCGGAGCAAAACTGCAACTGCTTATATAAATCCATCATGGTTCTTGTAGCAAAATAATTTGTAGATTCAGCAAATTATATCCACATGGAAAAAAATAATTTGCTGCAGCAGCAAACTAGTTTACTACATATGGACAGTTAAATATAATTCGCTGTGTTAGCTACTTTTTCTTTGCAGCAAGAATCTATTTGCTTGCTGTTATAACAGGAAAGTCTGCTCCTATAACAAGAAAAGTGACTAACGCAGCGAATTTGCTACAGATGGACAACTAAACATAATTTACTGCTTTAGCTACTTTTTTATTGCAGGAGCAGATTTTTTTGTTATCATAGCAAATCAT